AAGCTCTCTTGGGGGGGCATGCGCAAGCCTCGGAAGCGCATCGGAGGCGGACATGCAAGAATACAGACAATCAGTGTTTTTTCTTATTTTTTTCTGGTTAAAACAAAACAGAGATGTCGGCCTCTCGAGGGCTCCCCGGAGCTCTTGGGTGTGGAGGACCCTTGGAAGCCTCTTGAGGCGATCTTGGGGGCTCTTGGGGGCTTCCAGAGCCGTCGGGGGGGCGGCTTGGACAGTCCTGGGGCGCTCTTGGGCTGTCTCGGGGCCGTCCTGGGTCGTCATGAGGCCCTCCTGGGGCTCTCTTGGACGCCCGGGAGGGTGGTACCGGGAAATTGCCCCAGGTAGTTGCGAGGTTGTTTATACGAAATGTTGTATCTCTCTCTCTCTTTCTTTCTTTCTCTCTCTCTCTCTCTCTCTCTTCCTCTCTCTCTCTCTCTCTCTTCTGATGTTGCAGCGGAAATGCTCTACAGTGATAGCCGGCCGGGTTAACGTCACACCATTCGATCGCTGCCCCTCAAAAAGGCGATCATCACAACGGAAGTGCTCCCCTATAGTGGCCGGTCGGATTCAAGTCACCACGTCGAGGGGGAGGAGCGGAGGAGGAGGAGAGGGAGGAGCAGAGGGCGAGAGAGGCAGATTAAGCTAACCAAAACATCTGGAGCAGCGCAGGCCAGCCTGCCATAGGCGAGCCGTTGCGGGACACTGCCAAAGCTGCATTGCTATACAACTATATGTGCCCAAGCTCCGCAAATGACCTCGTGCACTTAAAATCAAAAAGGAGGAGGAGGAGGATCCGTAGCCATTTTGGCTCAAGGGCCATCTGGAACCCGAACCGCGTTTACCCCCCTGCCGGGGGGCCGCCGCGCGGGCCGGCCCCAGGCGTGTGCGTTCGCAGGATCTGCCGACCGCGCCGCGATGTAGCCTCGTCGTATGGCACGGCCCTGCCAGGACGCTCTCAGGCAGAGCGTGGAGCCGGTGCAGCTGCAGCAGATGAACCCCTGGGCTCAACAGGTCCGCCTCGCGCGGAAAGCGCGCCAGGTGGCGGCGCAGCGAGCAGCGAGCCATCAACTGCAGTCTCAACGTCAACACATTTCCGAGCTGCAGCGCCATTTGCGAGAGTGGTACCAGTGATGGCAACGAGCGCATCACGAGCCTTTTTGGGGACAGCGCTGGACACCAGACGTCATCAGCTACATCGCCGAAACGAACGCCTCCTGCGAGAAAGGAGGTGCGTGGCCCCAGGCAGATGGCGGAAGCGACGCCAGTGGCAGCAGCGGTCGGTCAAGAATCAAGAAATATTGGCGTGGCTCAAACAACATCTTGGCTCAAACACAACATCTTGGCTCAACAGCCTGCGCCAGCAGAGAGAAGTTACAGGGAGCTCTGGGGCAGATGTGCTAGACGGGTGTGACCGCGCAGAGCCCGAACGTCATCAACCACACTTCCGCAAGCAACACGCAAGAAAAAGGCGAGCAGCAGCTGGGAGCTTACGCACCGCAAAATCAATGGAGGAGGTCTCGAAGAGCCAGTGGCAACAGGACGCGGGCGGAGATAACGGCAGTGGCAAAGGCGGTCAAGACTTGGCAGACAATGGCACTAGTGGTCAAGAACCTGCAGGCAGTGGCAGCACCTGGAAGGCGAGCAGTGGCAGCAGGGATTTTGGGCAGTGGCAGCGGATCTTACGGCAATAGCGCCCACGGCGTGCCGGAGCCCAAGCGTCATCAGCTACAGAGCCGCTTGAACGAGGACCCAGACGGAGAGAATGAGGACTTGGCGGAGAGCCAAATCCAGCATCCAGAAGGCGGGCAGTGGCTGCAGGGCGCGTGTGAAAGTGACAGCAGGGGCAGCGGCTGTCAAGACTCGGCGCGCAGTGGCAGTAAAGGTCAAAAGCAGGCGGACAGTGGCAGCACCCAGGCGGGCAGTGGCAGCGGGGGCGCGGGCAGTGGCAGCGGATGCTGTGGCAGTGGCGCTGCGGGGCCCAGCCCTTGCATGCACGAGCGAGAAGAATTGCCAGTTGCATGTCATCAACTACGGTTCTTGTATTCACGGCGGATCGGAGCCCAACCGTCATCAGCTACAGAGCCGCTTGGACAAGACGGAGAAGACGAGGACGTGTACAAGAACGTGGTGTTCAGCCAGTTCAAGCCACCTTGCGAGAAGCAGGAGGCGAAGTAAGAGCCCGACACCGACTGCTATGAGGCCACGACGGAGTCACCATGCGATAAGCGGGAGGCGAAGCACAAGCCCGACGACGTCAACTACGGTGCAGAGGCCACGACAAAACCACCGTGCGAGAAGCGGGAGGCGAAGCACGAGCCCGATGCCGTCAGCTACAGGGCAGAGGCCACGACGAAGCCACATAGTGAGAAGCTGGAGGCGAAGCCAGAGCCCGACGCCGTCAGCTACAGAGGGCAGAGGCCACAGGGGAAGCCACCTTGCGAGAAGCGGGGGGCGAAGCACGAGGCCAATGCCGTCAACTACAGTGCAGAGGCTGCTGGGAAGACACCGTGCGAGAAGCTGGAGGCGAAGCCAGAATCCGACCGCGTCAGCTACAGTGCAGAAGCCACGGAGTACCGCACTCCGGAGGGCCACGCAGAGTACGAGCAGGAGGACCCTGAGGACAACGACGAGGGCAGCGAGGCGCAGCTCGAGGAGCTCAAGGAGCACCACGAGCCGACAGACCACGACACCGTGGAGGGCGCAGGTAACCAGGATCTCGAGATCGACAAGGCCGTATGGGAGAGAAGCCAAATCCCACCGACAATCCGAAGCCCGTGGCGCGTCTTCGAGGAGGACCTCGCGGACGAGATCGAGGACGCCACCGACAAGAACGAGGAGAGCCTGGCAGTCCTGCGAGCGCGCTGGGACACCGTGCAAGCGATGGGAGCGCCTGCGGTGTACGCGCAGCTCCTCAAGGACCAGCGCAACACCTACGAGGACACGTCGATCGCCGAGCTGGCCGTCTATACGAATTTCCTGCGCTACAGCATGCAAGGCGGCCGCTCGGAGGTGGCAGCGGCGGCCTGGAGCAGCCTCACCTGCGATGAAATGGCGGACTGGATCACCGAGGAACCCAAGGCAATGCTCGCCACGGACCCGCGGTGGGCGCCGCTTTTCGGCGCCTACTCCAGCGAGGACCTGAGCCCCAGCGAGGTCGGCATGCCCGAGGACGACCACCACGTAGAGAGCGACTACCTCGGACCCATCGCCAAGAAGGTGCGCTTCCGCCTTGCCGAGGAGGTGGACGACCTTGGCGACGGCGGCCACCAGCGCAGCTACGGCTCCCAGAACTCCGCGGATGCAGCCGCCCGGCACCCGAAGGACAGCGCCGACCACTGCGACGCCACCCCCGCGGGGCGAGTGGGTAGGCCCCAGGGCGCAGCCCACCCCTGCAGGGCGAGGGGTTAGGCCCAGTGGTGGTGAGGACGAATTCAGCGAGTTCGGCAACCACCTGAACGACATCCTCTGAACGGGTACGCCGCTAGACAGCGGTATAGAGTCGATATTGAAAGGTCTTGAAAGGAGGAGGAGGAGGATGAAACCGAGGAGGATGAGGATGGGAGAAGAAGGACGGATAAGGGAGGGAGGGAGGGAGGAGAAGGAAGGGAAGGACGCGGCTCGCGCGTGCGTAGGTCGCACGGATGCCCCCTGCGAGCACGGCCCCTGAGGGGCGGCATGTGAAGAAGAAAAAGAAAAAGAAGAAGACAAATAAAAAGACGAATACTAATACGAAGTAGCGGCGGCGGCAGCGGCAGGGGGAAGAGAGGAGGCAGGACGAGGCCGTGTAGGAACGAGGAGGGGAGGAACGAGCAAGCGACACGAGCCGAGGCACGACGGCCACGGCGGCGGGTGGGCACCCACGAACGCCGACGCCACTGCGCGCGCGGCGAGGTGCCCGCGGGCCAGCTCCACCGCCGCTTGGCCCGAGACCGCGGCGGTGAGGGTCGTTGTCGAGTCCGCGTGCCGTCGAAGACGATGCAATCCGTGCAGCAGGGGATCTGTCGACCTCTATCCCAGGCTTCGTGGGTTTTTGTTTCGGGTGGACCAGAAATTTCGGGCCCAACCCTGGGACATAAGATAGGGGGGGGGGGCGCCCATCCTCGACAGGGCTGCGTCCGAAGAACCCACTTGGGGTGTATCCCAAACTTCCCCCCTTTCCGGCCGCGCGGACGAAGATGTTCCGACCGCATTTGTGCACCGGGACCCGAAGCGGCAGCGCCAAGCGGATTCCTGCACCACGCAGAGTGGGCACACAAGGAATGTACCATCCTCGCCTTTTCTGACCTGAGAGTGTCAAAACTGGTCCATCCGACCCCCAAGATCGCCCCACGATGGCCTAAAAGGACACTTGCCCCCAAGACGGCCCACGGTCCCTCAAGACGGCCTCCGCGGACGCCAGTCAGACCAGGAGCGCCCCCAGACGACCCCAAGATGGCCCAAGAAGGAGCCCGACGGACCCTAAGAAGGCCCACGAGGGCCCGAAAAGAGCAGAAAACCGTACACAAGACGGCCCCAGAGGGCACTTCCAGGAGCCGATTCAAACCACATTTCGAAATTCATGTTGCACGAACTATCTGCCAGAAGGGGGCTGCTGTGTCTCGCCGAAGGCGTCTTCGATATCATTATACTGTAGCAGAGGGGGCAATCAGAAACGGCCGAACCAACCAACCGCCCAACATCCAAGTGTAACAAGAACCGGCGGTGTTTGGGCTTCCTCGGCTTCCGTGCAGCCTGGCCTGGAGGGGAACGGCAAGGGGAGGGGGGCTGGCTCAGGAGGGGGGACATCGAGCTGGAATCGGCGATGCATCGCCGATGGATTGGCGACACGCCCACCACAACCAAACCCAACGTTCCTGGGCTGGGTGTTCCATCGGGCCCCTCTCGGTGATGCATGGGCGATGGGGTGTGGATCCATCCCCCCGAAGCCTCTCCCCCCTGACGCTGCCTCTCACTGCGTGCAGCCCAACAGGTCTGCTTCGCCGCCCCCCCCCCCCCCGGAGGTC